CAGTGTGGAACAGAAATACGGTATATCTGCATGTACTGCATATCATTTAGGTATTCATTCAAGTCAGAACACTTTTTGTTTATAAAAATAATTTTTCATTAAAAATAAATTTTAAACTTTTCGTATTCAGTTTTTTAAATCATGAAAATAATTGAAAAAAGAATATGAAATTTATATTTTGATCGAAAATCTAAAAAAAAAAAAGAACTGGTTAAACGAATGCCAAAATCAATTTGCAACTGAAAGTAATTAGCCAGAATACAAGACAATTTAATTTTAATACAAAATGTATGTAGAATAAGTGGTTGTATGGGTGTGACGTTAAACATAAAAATGTACTTTTTTGTTTTCCATATATATTGCATAGTTTCCATGCAAAAGTGATTCAAATGTTTGCCATTAGTAATTTTACGAACCAATGAAGCACTTCATCGTCATCAACATTGGATAGACACGCACCTCCACTCCTTCCTATCCTGAGCTAACCTTCGCATTTCCCTAAATCTTAAACATCCCACCTCCTTAACTATTTGCCAACAGTGATCTAATCTAAGTCTACCTCTACTCCTCTTAACTCCTGTTTCTGCCTTTAATATGTCTCTGACTAGACCTTCATGCCTGAGAAGGTGTCCTACCAACCTATCTCACCTACTTTTTAATGAATTCCATAGAGTCCTCTGTTCTCTTATTTTTTCTAATACCTCTTCATTTCTGACCCTCTATCCACGGTATCCTCATCACTCGCCGGCAACTCCACATTTCGAACGCTTCTTACCTTTTCTTTACCGCAGCGCCCACCGTCCATGTTTCGCACCCATACAGCACCGTGCTCCAAACATACACCTTTAACAATATTTTTCGAATTTCTAAATTAACCGTTCGCGAGGATAGAAGTGACTTCTTTTCATTGAAGGCGACTCGACCCTGCGCTATCCTCTGCTTTATATCTCTACTACTCCTTCCGTCCTGACTTATCTGACTTCTTAGATACCTACAATCAGCCACTTGTAATTTTTCGTCTCCTATTTTTAAATTCGCTGTTTCCCTAGTTTTTCTTCCCTTGCATACCAGTATTTTTGTTTTACTTTTATTTATTTTGTTTTGTCAATACCGCTTCCATTTTATTTAAAACTATGTCTAAGTCCTCCTTTCTAGATGCTAATACTGCTATATCATCTGCAAATCTAAGCATATTAATTTTTTGCTCCTGTATAGCTATCCCTATGTTTTTAATGATGTTGATCGCGTCTTCTATGTATAGATTAAAAAGTAGCAGTGACAGTGTGCATCCTTGTCTGACTCCCTTCCTAATATTATTTATTATTGTATTTTCCTAAAGATAACGGAACACATATAATCAATGAGCATGCACAATTTGCCTTATAATAGTAGAATTGATTCGAAACATTATAATTTCCATCGAAAAAATTACTGTCACCTTGACTAATGAAATTTCGCGTCAAATATACATAAGTATAGATTTGTTTTCCTGACCATTAGTACCATTAAAAATATTTAACACAATACAATCACGTACCTTACACATATCTTCATAAAACATAAATAAACAATTTTCTTCGTTTCTTCTATCCCAACCCTCCTGGATATGACTCCAATACGGGGCCCAGTGAACTAAAAATTAAAATTTTTATTAAAAAAAAGTATGCTGTCGTATTTTTGCCGATTTTTGTTATTACCTAAATTATTTTCGAAGTAATTCCAAAATGTTTCAAAATTCCCGTTAAATCCTTGGGTGATAAATAAACGATTTAAATGATAGTAAGAAACAGCTACATCTTTGGGGTTTCTAGCAACGTATATTACCTAAAAAATATTTTCAAATATGTATACCTAAACACGATAACACTGAAAAGTTGTGGATTTTATTAATTATTTATGTAAATTTTGAAAATTTTTAATAGGAAATAAAATCATTTATAAGACTGGGAAGTAGAGACTTGAAGGTGTTCCAGAATTTNAATACAAGCTTTTTCGTAGCATAGCAGTTAGGGAGTATTAATATTTTATAGCGTTAGATTTTTATTTAAGTGTCAATTTTGAGTTTTAATCATAAAACAACAGAGTTCGTCAAACTAGGTGTCAACAATGTATTTTTGTTTGTGTTTATTTCAAGTGTGATACTAGAATTTTCATAAACATGTAGGTTTATCGGGGTATGCTCAAAATATACTTTTTTAAAGAGAACACCCAGCATATTTTCAGATATTTGAAATTCGCTCCGTTTTCTGAATTCGAAAATATATAATTGTCATATGTTCAGATAAATAATAATGTAGAAAATTATAAAAAATAAATTTTAGAGTTGGAATACATTTGAACGAAATTGTTCAGAAATAATTCATGTAAATAATTAGTTAAGTGTTCTATGGTTTTGATTGTGAACTGAGGGGGATTTGTAACAATAAAATGAGATGTTCTTGGAAGGAAAAATTTGGTGTATATATGACATATTTGGAAAACATTAGAAATGCTACGGCTTCTTTAAAGAATTATGGTTGAAAAATTTCTAATAGAAGACAACCTGCTACACTATTATTTAACCATTCCTAGTTAGGTAGGTTGTCATCTATTAGACCATGGTTAGTAAAACCTTATTTTGTTTCTATTCCGGACTTGATTTTAAACTAACTATTGGGCCAAATGATATGATTCTGGTCTCGCAAATGTGTTTGGAGCAAACTCCGTATAGATGCGAAATATGAACGGTGAGCATGGCGGAAAAAACTGGAAGCATTTGAGATACGGTGTAATTGACCGATTATATTTTAGAAAAGTGGAACAGATGGCGCTATTAAGGAAGTTCAATAAGGAAAAGAAAAGATAAGACGTAAGGGTAGCTTCTGATTCACAAAACGGTACATACAGACTTAATAGTGGCAGAAACAGGTATAAAGAGAGGCAGAGGAATACTTAAATTAGATTACTGTTAGCAAACAGAAACGTGGAATGCAGTAGTTTTTGAGAAATGCAGAGATTTGTACAGGATGGGAAGATGTTAAACCAGTCTTCGGACAGACGACATTGTAATGATTAAAAAAAATTGTTTTGGTCATGCTGGAGGACAGGTCTGATTTAATTATTCGTTTAAAATATGCTTTTAGTTCATACCTTACAGCCAGTTCTTAATAAATCAGGAGGTAAAAGACTGAATGGCAAATGAGTTTTGATGAATCGCCTGCCTGAATAATTTTCGAAGATTTTCCATCCGGGCTTATCAAGTTCTTCCACTTTTTTAAGTTTGTTTAGGCATTTACTGTTCTCTTGGCGAAATCGTTCCTTTATGTCTGGATGAACGCAAATACTAAATCTTCAAAAAAGCAATGTTTATAGTAAATTATATTTATGTATCTACATGTAAAATAAAAACTTTACTTACTCTAGAAACGGAAATCGTTCTATTAATGGAATAGTTTTTGCTTTTTCGTAATCGAAATTGTTACTTAAAAGCCAAACCATCTCTTGAGTCCATGTTGTTCCTTCAAAATAAATTTTTACATTTTGAGTTGCTGAGTTTTACAAATCTTGTATACCTACGTATATTACTGAGAAATCCAAAATTTAATAGAGTAATAAAACTACATATATCTAATAATAATTAATTGTGCACAGAAAGTATGGCATTATTTCATTGCTTTAAATGAAGTATGAAGCGATCCAAATTCTGTTAATTTATGAAGAAACTGAAAAGAATTCAAAGTTCATGATAAAATAAAATATTTATAAAATCTGAACCAGCCATAAATTTATTGAGTTACTTTCTATGCTCTTCCTTGTTTATTGTTATTTCAAAATAGTTGATTCCACAAAAAAACAAAACTCAAATTTCTCAAAAAATGAGATCTGCTGGACCAACGAGATGTGATCCATCAGATTGTAATGCCTAATACAAATGCGTAATGGACGATTGCTTGTCTGTGTTAAGGTAGGTCATTTAAGTGAAGTTGTAAACATAATAAAAACACGTGAGGTTGGAGTAAATAGTGTGCTCCCAATGACCAATCCCTTGAGCATTTCTATATTTCTCCCGAATGATATCCTTTTTTATCTGAGTGAGATTCTTATTTATCATCAGCGCCGTAAGTGAAAAATTCAGAGGCCATCTCTCGATGGTTCAGCTATACTTATTAGGGATTGCAAGGTAAAATAACACAATGGAACAAATGAAATCAAACGGGACTAACAACTTAACAATATATTTACAAAACTGGAACAATGAAATTAGAAGTGAAAAGAACTGAGAATAAAACTAGTTGAAGACTTAGCAGATTAATTGAATTGAACTGTAGCAAACCGAATTAGGAAGTGTTAATGTTTTGGAAATGAAAATGTTAGGAAAACTATTAGGCCGGAGTTAGAAGCATTTAGATGAAAGTAGGGAACCAATTAGAAGAGAATAAAATCTGGAAATGTGAATATACAAAATACTAAGAAATAGACAGATAGAATGTTAACCCTAAATCATTAAAAAGCAATTAAGAAGGGACAACAGTTATTGACATCATGCAGTTAGTACGTGAAGTTGAAATGTTAAAAGGGATTATAGAAAAGTCCAAGTAATAAAGTTATTTACACAGAACACAATAGATAGGTACATACACAAAAGATTTCAAATAGAAATATTAAGACAGATATTTACATAATGAGAATAACAGAACAATACAACACAATTTGAATAGAAAATTTGAAAAGATATTTACAAGCAAGAATAATAAAAATAGAAATATATACAGAAATATTTAAACATGATATGGCGGCCAGGTATGCGCGGCCACACTTATAAGATTTGACAAAAATGACTGTGAGATTTCAATGAACTCATATGTTTAAATTTAAATGAGTGAGAAATATAAGAACCCCTGAGGTTTATTACTATGTTACTGATGTTTTTACTAAAATTTTTATTCTGAAAATAAGTATAGCTAGCAAAATGCGTAACGGTCAAGTTCATGTGGCGCTGTACGGGTGCGAAAAGAACGGGTTAGAAGCGATCGAATTGTGGTGTTACAGGCGAATGATGAGGATACCGTGGATAGAGAAGGTTAGAAATAAAGAGGTATTAGAAAAATAGGATGACAGAGGGCTCTATGGAAGTAAAAAAGAAATAGACGAGATAGGTTAGTAGGACACCTTCTCAGGCATGCAGGTCTAGTCAGAGACATATTAGAGGCAGAAACAGAAGTTAGGAGGGGTAGAGGAAGACCTAGATTAGATTATTGTTCGCAAATAGTTAAGGATATGGGTTGTTCTAGTTTTAGGGAAATGCGAAGATTAGCCCAGGATTGGAAAGAGTGGAGGTACGTGTTCAACCAGTCTTAGGCGACTGACGACCTTATGATGATGATGATCACCATATTTGGTCGGTTAGGTGACGTTGATGATGGTGCGGTGGAGTCCATATTGGAACTACGATACGCAGAATTAAGATGCGAAAATAAACAACCGATGTATTTCAACAGAAGAAAGGTCAACGATTGAACAAAATATGTTACAAAGAAACTAAAAGCAATTAGTCAATTAATAAAAATTTTAGTCAATTGTACTTCTAGTCTCTCCTAGTAGGTATATTTTTACCTACAGATATTTTAGTTATCAATTTTTTACGAATCAATTCTTTGGTAATGATTTAATAGGCCCAAACAATATTGTAGGAATTTATTATTGAAGTTTGCATTAAAACCTTGGATATATGTGTTTTGTTTTTGATTATTTGCATCAATTTCAAAACATTTAACACAGTTTCAATCGTGATTATGTACAGGTACTGTGATCTATACATAAGAAATCATTACTATTACTAAAGCAGATCGCTAATTACTTAATAAATAAAAGAATTATAAAATACCTGATCTTGGAAATGTAACTATCCAAACATCATCAGGTGTTACCTCAAAATTATACAGTTCATTTGCTTCTTCTTGATATCTGTTGGGAAAGAGCCATTTTTGGGGACCCACTTGAACAAAACCCGTTTTTTCACCTTAACAAAGAAAATTTTTTGATCTTACATATGCTTTTTATTGTACTCTAATTATTGTTATTCGAAAATTCTTTAGTCTATTTTCATCTTAAGCTACCGGTTTTTTTTATATTTCATTAGAAACATGAGCCTTACCGGAAACAATAGTTAGATAGTGCTTCCAATTGTGAATTATCAGAAACGTATTCAATGAGAATAGCATTTTGCAACAATGATCTTTAACGAATTACTTCTTTCTTCAAAGGCATTTTACAAAAACAGTGACTTTATTGTATGCATAATGATTCCAAATGGGCACTCAAAAATATTTGGAAAAAATATCTGCCTATAATAAAAACGAATATAGCATTTTTTAGTCATGTCTCTGTTAGTATGCTCACTTCCAATTTCGTTGAAATTTTGGTATGCCGTATGATTTCCCAAGATGACTCAATAAATCAACACAAATTAATTTCCACAGATATGTTAATAAAAACATTACAATTGTTTCACCTCTCTGAGTCTTCTTCAGAAGTATTACAAGCATACTACAAGTGTTACAAGTACACTTCTGAAGAAGCCTCAAGGAGGCGAAACAATTGTAAAGTTTTTATTAATATATTTGTGGAAATTAATTTGTGTTTATTTATTAAATGATCATGAATTTCTATCAAGAAAACGTAGATAACCGTCAATCATTCTTCTGACGAAGCCTCAAGGAGGTAAAGTTTTTATTAATATATTTGTGGAAATTAATTTGTGTTTATTTATTAAGTGATCATGAATTTCTATCAAGAAAACGTAGATACCATCAATCACATTCTGGTGACCCTCAGGACAATAGGACGCTCGAACGGGGAAATAGAATTGCATTACGCCGAAAACAATAAATAATGCTATTCTTCGTTTGACCAGTGCAAAGTAGAAAAGAACAGGACTAGGCCATAAAAGGAAGGAGACAACTCTCTGCCAAACTCTTAACCGGTGAGGAGCGTATAATCCGTACAGTACTGCACGAAAATTGCATTGCTCAAATGTGCTTTTATTGGTACCATTTACTACTGAAAATATCAACGAGATGTTTATTTATATTTGAAGACATATTAAAGGCTTTAACGCTTGTTTTCGACTCGCACTACTATTCATGATTGAACAAAACTTTTGGCAGGTACTGTATGAAAAA